CGTTAACCCCATATTTTGGAGAGCGAAACTAAAAAAATATGTTCATTCCAAAAATGTAGTAGAGATCTCCATCCTCTACTTACTGAGCTCACCAACCCCCAAAACTGTCAGAATTATTATTTTAATCTTGCTTAGTATTAAGGTTTTACACGAAGTTTTAAAAATATGTAACATATTCATTTTAAGTAATCTTCGATTTTATACAGTTTGTTCAATGTAAATATGTTGAAAGGTAACTAAAATTCAAGTACTTGCACACTGGTGACGTCATTTCTCAGGCTTATTGCAATAAGCTTTGCAAGCATATTGCAAAGTGAAGTCGTCAGCTTATGAGAAGCCGGATTTTTCAGGCTAACCATGAGAGGTTTCTGTGGTTTTCCTCTCCATGTAATGCGAATACGAGTTAGTTCTATCAAAAATCCTCCAAGAAAGCAAAATTTCTGTCAATACTTACCCAGGAGTTTCCTTGTCTTCTGGATTGGGTTAAAAATTACAAGGCCACGGAGTTGAACAATGGTAACTGCTCAATAAAATTTTTAAGTTTTCAATCAGTTTGTTTTAAAAAAGGAAAATTAATTGAAAACAAAATTGTTGTTTTAATTTCAATTGTTATTTTATTTCCTAAAAAAAAGCAGTAAGCATTAAAAAAATTTAAACAGTTGAAATTTTATTCTCCAAAATATTAGTTTATTATAATATTAGTTATGTAAAATATTAGTCTTTTTTAATCAATTTCTTATTCAGTCATATATATTTATACATATATATATATTTATTTTTTTAAGGATCTTTTAACGGAATATTCAGTAAAATAAAAGTACACATCATTTTTCTGGGTAATAATGTACACATTTATTTTAGAAAATATGGATTGTAATAATCCAGATTAAAAATAATAGATTCTATACACTTTAAAATTCTGCATAAAAACTAAAGCAAGAAAAAAAATGTTTTTTTAAAAATTAAATGAAACAAATATTACTTTCTTACACTATATTTAATTTAATGTCTTAACTTTTGAACAATTTATTAAATAGTGAAAAAATTATATTTGGACATTTTAAGTTTCTTCCATTCCCTTAGGTTTTTACAACTACCTGTATCCTATTAAAAATTAGTTTTATATTTGATGAAAGGCAAACTCTGTATTAAAGTAGTTTCATAAAATCAATTAGTGCCAAATGATTTCGTATCAAATGTAATTATAAGTAAATAGTTTTAAAAAATTACATTTTTTAATGAAAACATAAGTATAAGTATTGTATTTATTTAACAATAAATAGCAATTCAGAACTGTTATTTTTTAAAAAATAGGCATTAAAAACTTGACAGATGTAGACAAGATTTATTTTATTAGTAAATAAACAAGTTCAAAAGTTGTGAAAATTCATCCATGTTGCAAATACAAGGAGTTTATGGTTTAAGGAAATGAAGCTTTAGTTAGTTACAATAAAAACAGAAAACATTTGTAGAAAAATAAAACAATCAAGAAATAAATGTATATTTTAAAAACATAAGTGTTTATAGATGCAAATCTTAAAAATAATAGCATCAGGAAGATCCACAAGAATAATGGCAATAGGGTGTTCTATAATAATGCGAATACACAGTATTAGAATGCTGTCAAAAATGAATATGCATAACTGGTTGCAAATTAATATGTAATTGATGAAAAACAAAAACGCAATAGAAATCTAACGAATCATTAACTGAAGTAGACCGGACAGTAAACAGCAAAACCTGTTTTCTTGCAGAGAAAATAGTGAGGACTTGAATGAGATTATGAGAAACACTTTCGAGTTTCAACAGGAAATGAAACTAGTATTAATGTTTTTTATTCAGTCTTCCTATTAATGTTTCTCAGATTTCAATAACGTTTTTGTCTTAGTTTTTCCCCCTAAATATATATGAGCTTTGGGGAATATATTCGTATCAATATATGTCACGCAAACTTCAGTCCCCAAGGTGCCAAATGGATTTTAAATTGATATTTAAAAATTTAAAAAAAAAACATGTACACATTTGTGCAGATGGGGTATGATATCAGTACCTTTGAGTTGGTCTCTTTCTGTGCTGCTTTTGTTTTTATGCACAAACCGCTGCCAATAAGTTTACCCGACTTGGCAATTATTCTGCCGCAAATTAAGATACAGAAATTTTCCTTATAAACATAGCCTGAATTAAGGAAACACGCAAAGAAATGAATTTAAAATTGATAAGCTGCTTCAGGATGCAGAGCCAGATTTTTTCAACAAAAATAAGCACCTTTTAAGTTATTTTTCAAAAAATATTTTTAATCACTTTGCAAAAAAATCATAATTAAGAACTGTGCAGTAATAAAAATTCTTTTTTCTATTGGTTAAAGTTCTTAATTTTTAAACATGAAACAAATAAAATTCAAAAACTTTACATAATCATGATAAAATAACTAGATTCTGATAAATATTGTACAGAAAATGGTAAAAATCATGCATTTTTTGCAATTTAGAACAAAAATTGACACAGCAAAGAAAAAAAATTCTCTTTCTAAACAATGAAAAATTAAGCACTTTTTGCATGCCCAGAATAAAAAAAAGTACCTAAATGGACTTTCAAAAAATGTAACTAAAAAATAAGCATCTTTAAGCACTTTTTAAAAACTCTACATGTGCATATTAAGCCAGGAATTAAAGATCTCTAAGGAATCCTATTGGTGCAGCATGCATAATAATCTCAAAAAGAAATATATATATAAATATATATAATTTTTTTACTTATTCTTCTAAGAATATGCAAAATGACTAATATTCTCGGTATTATTTTGGGATAGGTGATTAAAAAATTATTTTTTAATTTGAAACCTCAATAAAATATTAATTTTTAAAATAATTTTTCTAAAGTTCAAAATATATTTCTGAAGGCAAATTCTGCCTAGTAAACAAATATTGGCGGGAAAATTCTATTACATATTAATACAATTTATAAAAAATTAATGTAAACTAAGCTAAAAACGTCAGTACTCATTTATATTGAAATGAAATTAAATATTCTGAACTCAAATACAGAAATAACTAATAACATTTTACACCTAAGGAAATCACTCTTTAAACTGAGTTAATTAAATTATAGTAAAACTTGCGCTCCTAAAACCATATTCAAAATAAACCCGTTTTTACATTAAATGCTAAAAAAATCATTTTTTCTTAAAGTTCAAAATTTTTGTTTCCAACATGAAACGTTGTCGAGTGCAAAAGGAAGGGAAGAAAATTTTTCTTTTAACAGAAAAAATAGCTTCTCTGGTTTAGACAAGTTATCTGCTACATTTTAGATTTTCAAATTCCTGACTTTCCATGACTAATGTTAGAACTTTTCATGACTTAACGAAGTTACTATTTTATCTGACAAAAACAGAATAATAAATTTAAAAAGCATTATAATAACATTAATTGACATCATAGGTATAACCAAAACTGTTATACTCTGCATCTTCATATTTATTGATTTTAAATTTAACAAGCAGAATAAAGAAAAAGTTTAAGCAATAAAATAGCTTCAAAAATAATAGCTGAGCAAAAAGTTTTTTTCTGCAGAATTATATTCTAAAGATACTTTTCTCTTTCATCAGAAAGAAAAGAAATACTCCTGATTTTTCTGTTCTCATATCAGAATAAATAAAAAAATTGTCAATGACTGGCTTGCTTCAGCTAGAATTTTAAAATTGATAAAATAAAATAAATAAATAATAATAATTCTGAAATCACAGACATTTAAAAGATACTTTACTCTAGAAATGATGTTCTTTCTTTCGTTTTTCGAAAGAACACTATAATTTTTAAAGAACATGATTTGAGGAGGGGATTCCATTTTAAAAATAAAATTCTTCAGTGGCCTAAATCCATGACTTTCTATGATTTTTTTTTTTTTTAAATAGTCAAAATCATGACATTTCATGACAAATTTTGCTCAATACCTAAATTCATGACTTTCCAGGTGTGCGGATATCCTGTTTAGAGTTTCCATAAAATATAGGTAAATAATTCCTAAAAAATTTTATATTAACATGCGTTAAGAAAAAAAAATTTTTTTTTTTAATTATGCTTTGATGAAATTTCCCATTAATCTTTTAGATATTTTTTTTTATGAATCTTCGAAAATTAAAAATCAGGAAAATTTTTTTTTTCAAATAAGTCCCAAAACTAATGCTTAAGTATATGAATTAAATAGGTCTTCCAGAATAGGGGCTTTTGATATATGTTCCATTACTTCTAGCTTGAATTCCCTACATAACTATGTAAAACAAATAGGAAGTTCTACATATTGTGCGCAATATATGTAACACTAGACAATAATGGAAACATATACAGGCGATATTATACTGATAAATACTATACGTCAATGCAAATTAATAGAAAATTTAGTTATAATGACAAATATAAAAAAATATATCATTGAAAAGTAAAAATACATGCCTATAAAGGGAAATTAATAAAATACCAGGGGTCTGTTTAGAAGAAATTTGGGTCCATTAACGGACCCTTCACAAAATATCTTTTCATAAAAACGGACCCTTCACAAAATATTTTAACATAAAAACGGACCCTTCACAAAATGATTTTTCTTTTAATCGGACCCTTCACAAATTTGTTTATCTTCATTATTATTGTATTAATCGAGTAAACCCTTTCCAGGGCAGAAAACAAGAAAGATGGATGTAAACGAATTACGTTTTGTCTTCGGCAGACGCCTCTTCCATTATTTGTCCGAAATTAATATACTGCTTTCAGTATAGGCTAAATACCAAATATTTGTATGTTGCATCTCTAGTTTAGAAGCAGCAATTGTTGTTTATTTTTTAAAATTTAATTTTTTTAATTATAATTTTACAGTGTTGAGCATAATCTTGTATGTCTTTACAATTTAAAAACTCCCCGAAAAAGTTTTTTTTTTGGAAATAACGGACCCTATTTGCACAAATTCATAAAAGCGGACCCTGGTTGAAAGAATGTGAGTAATTTTTTCACAATTTCACGAAAAACGGACCTTTCACAAAATGTCTGGACAGACCCCTGAATACTATATAAAAATACAAGACTATAAAAAAATGTATACAAATACAATGAAACACTCATAAAATAAGGCAAACTGATAGAAAACTGCATATAAATGCAAGCAAGTTAGAATATTAACAATTAAAAAATGCAAATGATGAAGCAACAAAAACTAATTTTAATGAATTGAGTTTTGGAACAGAAAAACCATAGTACTTATTTCATTCATTTATGATACGAAATATATTTGATTCATAATTGGAGAGATAATCATATAAATAAATTGCAATAAATAAAAGAGATAAAAAAAACCTACATTTCAGTAAACATCAAGAACATAATGGGTAATTGCTTAATTAAACTACTGAAATAACTGTTTGACCACAAAAAAGCCAAAACAAAGGAGAACAAATAAGACAACTTTCAAAAATTAAGGAAAATGCAATATAAAATTAAGAAAGGAGTATTGTATTCTTAGTGATTTATGAAGGAAAAAAAGGCAGAAATTATACTATAATTTGCAAAAATTAGAAATATTAATGTTGCCCAAATAAAAAATATTACAAATTTATTACACTGAATCAATTCTTCCAAAATTAAAACTTTTTATATTACTTTTTGAACAACATGAGATTAAAATTGATGATTAATCACTACAGAAAATAATACAGCACATTTTAAAAAGAATTTTTGACCACACTAAAAAAATAAACGTGTTAGCCAAAAAAATATTTTTTTTAAAAAACTTTCATTTTGGTCTTACTTTTTAATTTGATTTTGACTTATTATCCAAAAATAAGGTAACTTCTCTCAAAACATCTGATGCCATTTCGGGATGATCTTTGCATATTATTAACCATTCTGGTTTTTTACTTACTGCAGAAAAATTTTGTTTAATAAATTCAACCGCCTTTTCAGACAAAGTTTCATCCTTAAACAAATGAGACATCTCAAGAAGTTGACAAACAGTACCTTCATGTAATTCAGCTTCCAGTATGTCTCTACAATCTTCTTTAAGACCATCAACCGCATACTTATCTGCAAGCACGTACAGATTACGAACCATATCATAACTTTTGTCACCGATTTCACTGTAGTAGAGACATTTTAAAAAATTATCAAAATTAGAGGCATCTGCATCGGTAATTTGGATGTTTTTCGTATTGGATTCCAAGCAATTGTTATCCAACATAGCCTTAAAAACAGGAGAGTGAGTCACAAGCACTAATTTGTGGGCGAGAAGAGAGACACCATCAACAGTAATAGTTACATCAGCCATTTCTTTCGAATCATATAGGTTTTTAAAAGCAGAGCATAAATAACAACGTCTTTTACGTGGAACATTTATTGCAGGAGTGATGGTCCGTTTTGGAGTAACAGGATCGCTAAAGAACATTATCAAGGTAAATTTTATTCCAATATAATCATCTTCACGTGAGTACTCCATGACTTCATCAACAACCCTCAAAGTTGAGCCATTAGTAATAACATTAAACAGGAAAACTTTGTCCTGTTCTACATGATTTTTACCACCTATATTGTAAATAGAATTATTTACAACTTTAATTGTAGTCAAACATTGAACTATTAAGTCTTTCGGAAACGCACCATCAACAACACTTAAATAGAATTCACTTTTTTTTCTCTCCCTAGAATTGTCTTCTCTCTTATAAGAAACGATACAGCTTGGATTATAAACTTTCCCAAAAGAATCAAATACTCTTGCCTCAAAAGGCCAAATTTTGTAACTGGCATGCCTACGGGTAGTAAAATTTTCTATTTCCCAAAATGAATGATAACTAAATTTCTCGGCCATGTTTTACAAATTATCTGATGAAATGAATTGTGTGTGTTTTGTTTACAAATGTGATAAATTCGTACGAGTTGAAGTTTTTGATTTCGTGGATCTAAGCTTGTAACCTTTAAGCTATTTTCTTGAAGGCTGTTACTTGGCCGCCCGACTTTTTAATACAGGCTTTTGATTGGTCGACACTAGAATGGTATTATGGTCAGTTTACTAAAATGGCATTTTTGTTCCGCACAATTTTACTAAGGGCACGTTCCAATATTCGCACCGG